CTTGGACATCGGCTGGACCCCGCAAGTCATTGTATAGGCCACATCGCATTCAAACGCCACTACGAATATACAAATGGAAGTAGAATGCGTGCCGCATCCCAAAAAGGGATTGATCAACGGCAAGTTCCTTATCCTTTATCCTTTATGCCTTACCCCTTACCTTTTACCCAAGGTAATTTCCATCTTGGGATGCTTCGATCCCGTAGCTGAATATTCGATTGTCTACCACCGCCACCGAGGCCTCTACATCACGAGCAGCTAGCTAGTTGGGCTCCAAAAATTTTTAACCCTTATCCAAAATAAGGAAGATATAGTAGATGGAGACGATAGTGTGGGGGGGGGGGTCGAAGAAAGGCATTAAAAACACAACGTAACTGATAACTACTCATATTTCATAAAATTAAGCTTCGCAGAAAATGTCGCATATTTATTAGAAAAAATATAAAAGTGAAAAGTAATACCTGTGATGCATGAGAAATATATTATGTAAAATATGTTTACAAAACATTTTTGCCTTACAATGTGTTACATGCAAAAATATTACTACTCGTCAATATCTCTGAAAGCAGCGAAGAGGTTGTCCATTTTCTTGCACAATGTGCTTCCTTTTAATCTTGCGTAATTCAGTGTTGTGAATGGCACATGAACTTGTTCGTCATACTGAAAAGTAATCAAATAATTAGTCACAAACACAGGGTTAGACAGTATTCAAACATATCGAAGCCTAACTGCTGTTACAGTTGAACTAAGCGATAGAATGGAATGTGCCCTACAGGATCAGTATAGAGGCGAATGGATGAAAAACACATTTTCATAGCATTTTCGAGCTGAGAATTAAATACTACACCACAGAAATTCTCATATAAATTATGAGACAAACAAAAAACGCAAAAAACCGGCCGTAAAGCCCTGGTTGCGCTTGAAAACGGTTTCATCGATCCCAGAAAAGCACAAGGAAAAGATGAAGACAACTGCTGGAAAAGTCAGAAGCAATTAGCTAAAAGCACCTGTCGCTGCACTTTCTGTCGCTTATTTCCCCTCACCTCCAATAAAGAGCCCCTGCGATTGTGGATGATACCAGGGTCTCGCTCAGACAGTCGCCCAAACCTAATCATCTTTTCGGAAAATGCGAACAAGAAGAGGGGGGGGGCATTTTTGTGAAACGGAATTGGAACTTCACGGGGATATTTTTTAAATTTCATATAACGCAAACGGTATTAAAACTAGTAAAGATATTATTGAGCGGGATCAAAACAAAGAGGCATTCTAGTTTCCGTTCCGCACGTGCCCTTGGAAGTTGAACGGTTCGGTTGTGGAAGAAAGAGGGTTTATTGACAATTTCAGAAATTGCGGGTAAGCAAAATTGAGGGCACACTCAATTCCGTTTCTTTGACCATATTATCCAACTCCTCCCCCTCCCCTCCTCTCCCCGTTCGCTCGAGCGCGGTGCAGTTCGCCTGCTGGTCTGAAAATTGAATAATGCAACAAGTTGCGATGATTAGGTGCTGGGAGGAGGTGCCCTTCTTCCAGCGTGAAGTTGCTGGTGGATTGTATCCGAACCCCTTGAAGAGGGGAGGAGTGAAAATTTAAAGTGAGCGTGACGGTTGACCCTAACAGTGCTTGGGCTTTCGGAAACGACCAGTTTTCCTGGCCAGTCCATTCGACTTATTCTACCACTTTTGCGTCTAATTGGCTAGGTAGCTTTAGCGTTTGTCCAAGACTGTTTACCTGACAAGCAAGAATTCGAAAAAAAAATCACAATCGATTCATTGTGTTCACTTGTTTTGAATTAAGGAATGTTGATGACAGCTCATGATTTTTGTGGGGAAATGGAAAATGGTGAAAGAAAAGAAAGAAGGAGAAGTTGGGAAATGTTCGAGTAGCGCTTTTCCACAGAGCACTCAAGCAGGAACGAATAGGACTCCGAACGAAAACATGTACAGGGAGGCCAATTAAAAAAGACATTTTGACTATGTCGCACTTCAGCGTTTTTTTTTTCGCAGAGATTGCCGTCGCTGACGGAAGTTCTTCAGCAAAATATTCCTCAAATGTCCCTCTATTAGTAGACGCAGGCCCTCCTTCACTGCCCTCACCGTCTTCAGAATATGACGTCATCGTCATCGAGCTCACGGAGGACCTACAGTAAATGCTCCAGCCCG